TTTGAGTTTTTTATTAGTTGAATTTTATATTATTCAGTAGTTGTTTATGGATTTAGTTCTGGAAAACTATTTGTTGCAATACTTATTTAAATTGCTTAAATCGATGAAATTGAAAGTTTAAGGTTAAAAAACACATTTAGTCCCTATATTTTCATTAAAGTAACGATTTAGTTCTTGAACTTTCAAAAGTAACGATTTGGTCATGTACTTTGAAATTGATTATAATTTAGTCCCTCCCGTTAAAAATTGGGTTAAGAATTAACAGAAAATTGAGGGGGCTGCCAACTAGGATTTGTGTGGACATATTAATTCGCCAGCTGTGTGGTTCGGTTTAATTTTCGGCCGGTATAAGTTTTATTCGATTTAGGATAAAAAACACGGAAAGAATGGAAATGTTGGAGCAATGACCCAGAACGACTACGGCGGCCTCCTGCAAGAATCGTGCCGCCGCCAGAGACTTGGCCTCAACCTCTTCCAGTGACTGCAACAACTTTTAAGTCTGTATCAATTTGAGAAATAAATTTTAAGTCTGATCACGGAGTTCATTTTCTCCCTTTCTTTCAAATCATTTTCATAATTCTTGAAAGATAAACAAACGACTTTTTTCATTTTACAAGAATTGAAGAACACCAGGCGGCGAGAAGGCCCGGATCCGAAATCTCAATTCCAACAACTGATTTAGTCTCTCACTATCATTGTGCCATAAGATTGTAAATCGCCCATATATATTTTTCTTTCTTTGATTTTGGGTGAGGGGAAATTGAGGATAATGGGATGGGATGCTTCACGAGCCAATATCGGAAGGGAGAGAATTTTTCATCGTAGTGTTGACAGCTCGAGGAAGAAGACGATAATGGTGGAGATTCCCTGCTCTGATGCTGAAACCACCATACCTTGTAAAACTTCAGATTTGGGGACTTACAATTATAGCAAAATCTATAATCTCCCTCTTTATAAACTCAAAAGCAGGATATTGACCCATTTGACCCCAATGTATTTTTTTTTCTCAAATAATCTAACCCTTCAAAAATGCTTATGATGACCCATAGTTGTTTTTTCTGACAAAGCCAGTGGAATAAATGTACACAACTACCCTTGAATATTGAATTCATTGAAACATTTCCTGAGGAGCATTACTCGCCCAAAGTCGAACATTTCCCGGCTGGGGTTTTTTCAAATAATGCAGTAAAATTGCATATTTATTGGCGGGGATTGATGTTTAAAATTGACATTAAATTTTCGAGCGAGGTTTGACGATTTTTTCGGTCGAAATTGTAATCCCATCAATCAACCAACTTTCAATTAATGCATACACCTAAACGTTTAATGTTCAGAAAAAGTACCTACGAAACTTTTAAGGCTTCACCAGGTTTCAGATAGCACAACCAAAGGAACATTGTACTTTGAAAAAGTGTACCACGTTGATCTAACATCAAGGTCAATCCTTCATCCATCTAAGCACTTAGGGTTGTTTCCCGTTGGATATATATATCACACGGAGAAGGTAAGAGCTGTTGCTTTTAGAAATGGTGTTCTGATTATGTTAAATGTTAATGCGTAGAGTGAATCTTTGTTTATATATATATATTTTATTTTTAAGTAAAGGTTCATTTTCTTTGCGAACTCAGAAACTGTGATGAACCTCGGCTGGGTTCTTAAATTCCCGGCCGAAAGTTATAATTCGTAAGAACATTGCCGGAAGCGTACAAGTCTTTCGCCCGGAATAGTTAAAGATTTCGCTCGAAACTTCATGATTTTCGCCCGGAACTTAATTTATTTCGCTCGAAACCTGATGATTTTCGCCTGAAACATGACATATATTCAGTTTTTTTTCTTCGAATGTTCTTCCTTTTATTTTTCTTTATAATTTTATATACGTTTGCAAGATGTCTTGTCTGTTTGTTAGTTACGGTGGTCAGTGGAATGAGGCGCAATCTGTTTATAATGGTGGAATTATGGGAGGTTTGGATGTAGATAATAGTATAATATATAATGAGCTCATCAGTGAAATGTATTGGCTCACCAAAGTGGGTATTGACAAGTTTGATATTGTGATACAGTGTTTATATAAATTTCATTCCCAAGTACCAAAGTATTATATTTTTTATGATTACAGCCTTAGTTTTTTTTTAGAGGCCCTCCACATCCTTCCGAAGTTCCATTGTATGTATCTGTGATACTGAAGCAAAGACACGACAGTGGTAGCAATTTGAAAAATCTGGTCATTCTTGCATCTGAAGCGTTCGATTCATTTCTGTACCAGTTAGGTCAAGATGTCCCCATTCCTATTCCCATGCACTCCACGATACCGAGTGTTGGTCCCTCATGTTCTGTCCCATCAATAACACCGTTGAGTGACAATGTTGTCCCATGCAACTTAAGCGATGATGATAACGATGAGGGCGAAGATCACGATGGGGATAATTATGAGGGTGACGAATTTGAGGGTGATGATTATGAGTTTGAGAATGATGTAGGGTTTGAGAATGATGTGGGGATTGACAATGAAGAGGGTGTAGAGCCAGTGGATGTATATGCCCCATCTTTTGCACCCTTACATTAAGTTACCACGGTTAGTATGAATACACCTTGTACAACTGCTCAAGCATCTTACTCTAGAGATATATCAAGGACAGTTGATGAACTTGGTTTCACCTTAGAAGAGATTGCAGTAGGGAGTACTTTCAAATCGAAGGCAGATTTGCAGTTCAATCTATCGGTCTTTGCAATGTGGTTGAATTTTGAATACTGCGTGAAGAAATCTACGAAGAGTTTGTTAACTGTTGCATGCTATGAGGGTGAATGTAAATGGGGCATGCGTGCGAGGAGGATTCCTGGTTCCGATACTTTCCTCATCTCTAAGTTTTTTGATGTGCATACTTTCAAAGGTAAGGTAATGAAACATGATAACAGACAAGCACGAAGTCCCGTGGTGGGTCAGATCATAAAGGCAAACCTTGAGGATCCAAGCCGTCGTTATAGGCCAAAAGATATTGTTAGTGACATGCGTAGAGATTCCAACGTTAACATATTCGTTACGAAAAGGCGTGGCATGCGAGAGAAGTAGCGTTGGACTTATTGATGGGTTTGCCTAAGAAGTCTTATACTCTACTGCATAAATACGGTGAGGCGTTAAAATATGTGAATCTAGGTACGGTATTTAATTTGAAGGTTGAGGATGATAAATATTTTCAATATATTTTCATGGCCCTTGGATGTTCTATCAGGGGGTTCACAAGTAGCATTCGCTCTGACTTGTCATTGACGATGCTCATCTGAAAGGAAAATACAGAGGTGTGATACTTATTGCTTCTTCGGTAGATGGTAATAATCAAATTTACCCACTAGCATTTGGAATCGTTGATAGGGAAACAGACAACTCTTGGACATGGTTCTTAGAGCAAATGAAAATGTCTATTTGAGAGGTAGATGGATTGGCTTTTGTGTTTGACCGGCACCAAACCATTAATAACGTTGTTGCTACTGTATTCCCTAATGCAGAACACGTCACTTGCATGCATCACGTCAAGATGAACTTGAATGATAAGTTCAAGAACGAGGGCATGCAGACGCTATATCTTAAAGCAGCGAATGCATTTAAGAAGTTGACATTCCGATATTACTGGAACCAACGTGCTGGATTCCTAGAAGTGCAAAGGTACCTTGAAGAAATTGGGTTCGACAAATGGTCACGGGCCTATCAACCTGGACTGAGGTACAACCAGATGACAACTAACACTGCAGAGTCTATGAATGCAGTACTTGTGCATGAACAAGCTTCGCCAGTTACTGCACTGTTTGAACATTGTCGGGCTCTTCTACAACGATGGTTCTATGAATGGCAGACACGTGCAGCATCAAGAACATCCATTCTCACTGAGTATGCCGAGGACATTCTAAGAGAAGCCTCAGAACAAGCCTGACGACACACTGTTCGACCGATCAACAATTACGAGTTCGAGGTACACGCTGGTAGTAGTAAAGTGTGTGTCATTCTGAACAGTAAGACTTGCATGTGCAAGCAGTTCGACTACTACGAGATTCCATGCTCCCATGCTGTTGCTGCAGCCATGTTTCGGAATGTGAACAGGTACACGTTTTGTTCACCGAAATATAGTTTAGAGACACTAATTACTGCATATGCTGAACCTATCTATCCACTGGAAGACGAGGACGATTGGGTTCTGCCGAATCACTTTGTCGAATTCCCCATCGAGCCCCCAAAGTACATTCCTCGGGTTGGACGGTGGCAAACTATACGGATACCGTCTGCCGGAGAGCCGCACCAAGTTCATAAATGTAGCAGGTGTGGACTCCGAGGGCACAACTGCAAACCTTGCCGCCAACCATTACGAACCACGGACGCTTAATCACATGTATTTCATTTTTTTGTTGAATCTATTGTTTCAGTCCATTACAATGGAAAACAGTTCCTTATCTACTTCCATCTATGCCCGTAGGTGTCAACCAATTTTTTTAAGCCTACACAAAATGGAGAATTCTGTGATAATTCTCGGGCGAAAACGATTCACTTTCGCCARAGGATTGGTACATTTAATCAAACAATGTGCACGCTGGAAAATAACTCAGGCGAAATAGAATTGGTTTCACCCGGGGAATTTTCCAGCGTGCGCATTGTTTGATTAAATGTACCAATCCTCGAGTAAAAGTGAAGCGTTTTCGCCTGAGAATCATCACAAAATTCTCCATTTAGCACACGTTTATTCAGAAAAAATTGACATATTGACCTGATTTAAATGTTATAGTACAAAATCATATTTTCAAATGCCACAATTATGCACTTACGAAGTCTTAGCTTTGATTAAGCAAATGGTAAATAAAGTAAAGTACATCCATGTGACCTGTTATAAAAAAATTGACCTATTGGCCCACATTTCAATCGCCATCTTCTCCCTAAAAAACTTAATGTTCGACTGAGTTAATGTGGACAAATAAAAACCGGTTACATCATATTCAAAGAATTTAACGCAGAAAATCCCACAGTCCCCTGATCCAGCCTGTTGCGGCGCCGATCTTACTTGACGATGCGTCATGGCATATTCGGTAATATTGGCCTAAGTACCTAGACCAGCCCTGTGCATCAATGCCGGGAGGACGACACTCATCATTTTCAACTCGGCTTCCAATACCCGCAACAGTGTGTTAAACATCATGGAATCCCAAACAACGATCTCACCCTCCTCCAGATCAATGCAAACCATCATCCAATGGTTCCCACCAATGTTATATGGTAGGTAGACCGCGTCTAATTCAAGCCACCATTTCTGATAGTTCGTGTGAGTACCGTCTATGTAGCTAAGGACGATTTTATGGTTGTCGGTCCAATTGTATTTTGTTGCAACTATCTCTGGTATCGCATTCGGGGCTATCAGTTGTTCGTACAGTCCGTCCGTGTGTCGAAAGAAGTTCTGTGATTCGTATTGAAAATAGGTTAGAACACAATGTATTATGCATACGCATCGTATAACAATTAGATACTACGTACCGAAAGGACTATGTCACCCGTGGTGAACTTTCGACAACACAATTCTGGTCATTGCTCCAGCTTGTTCCGCGTGAACATGATCAGTGAATCGATTACCTATAAAAAATAGGGGTGTTAGGAAAGTATAAACAGCAGCATAGCATGAATTAGGGTTTCAAACCTGTACCTCACTCGTCAACCAATCATCCGGTGTGATAAGGTCACGCAACCACGACTTCCCTCGATCACCATAGCATGACTTCTTGGTGTAATGGTTTGTTTTCGGGTTGGCCATCCATACGTGAAACTTTTCGACTACTTGGTGTGGGACATGCATTAGCGGGTCATACCGAAAAACCTTCTTTTTCTTCCCATCGACCATAACTTGGAAGGAGCCCCGAAGCTTCCATGGAAGCTTCCTCTTTCGCGATCCCTGTCGAGGTTTAGGTCATTCGGTCGGTTGCGAGAGCACGCGTACCATATTGGACTCCACATGTGATGTAACGCCCCGCGTTCTCTGACTCGTTTATTTTAAGAGATAAATAGTGTCTTTGGATTTTTCCCTAAGTTGATAACTTTAATTCTTGGATTTTATAACTTTGAAATTCTAATTTTTGGTTAAATTAGAATTAGGTTTAATTTCATTGGATTAAGATAATTTAAGTTCTCGACCTGTGTAGGAGATTTTTAGTTAAATCATAAATTCACGGTTTTTAGGATTTCTTTCCTAAATTCTACTTTTTCTTCAGATTATTATTCTTGGGTTTTAGAGTTCCAGTTAACTATTTTATTTAAGGTTTCGGGTTTTATTTGATTTCTAAAGTATAATTATTGGCCTTATTGTTTTGGGCCATTGTATTATCTAGTTGGGCCTCCTATAAGAATAAGAGATCGAGCTTTTAGTTTTAAAACAAAATAAAGAAAAATGGATTAAAACAAAAAGAATGTAAATTAAAACAAAAATAAAGGAAAGGAAACCTTAAGCTACCCCTCATCTCTTTCTTCTCCATTTGTTTCAGCTGCCCCCCTTCTTTGTTTTCTCCGGCGAGGCAGCGGCGGCGATCGGCTGCAAAACGTGGACAACATCAGTTTTGTGGTGTTTGGTGCTTATTCACACCCGTTCGAAGCCCGATTTACGTTACYCACCCTTGCTCGAGTTAGATAAAAGTTACACACACCTAAGCGAAGTCGTTTTGTAGTAACGGATAGCAAAACGAAGTCATTGGAAGTTGTTTCGACGCGTTCCTCTGCTGCAAAACGTGGACAGGAACAGTTTCGTGGTGTTTGTGCTTACCCACACCTGTTTGAAACCCGATCTACGTTACCCACCCTTGCTTGAGTTAGATATGAGTTACCCACACTCAAACGAAATCGTTTTTGTGGTAACGTACCCTTCGAACCCTCCTTATAACTGATTTTTATGACTAAAACTGTCTTCTTGACATGCTGTTTTTTTTATTTGAATGCCTAGGTGCTGAATCAATCGAAGAATTAGGAACATTGAGAGTGTGTAAGTAGTTCTTACTTAAGGGGATTGTTTGTTGTAGGCTGCTATGAACTGGTTGCTTGTTGTGTGCCTATGAGTGTCGGTTGCATGATTGTTTGAGATCGATGTTACCTTATAAATGTTGTTGATGATATAATTGCTAGGTAACATTTGGAAATACATGTAGTTGTATGATATGTTGTATCGTGAACTGTAGACATGTTGGATGTAACAATGGTGACTATGTGGTTGATGTTACGTTCTGGTTGGGCTGAATGTGAAAGTTGTGTTAACTGTTTTGGCTCTATGATTTGTTGTGTTTGGAGCATGCTGACGTTGTCGTGCAACTTGTATTCCAATACGAATTATTGCGAACTTGTTTGATGGGATATTTGTTGGTTTCCTTTTCTAAATTCGAAGCATGCTGAATGTAAAGAGAAATGTATTCTTGTGATGCTTGATGACAATGCCTGAATGGTAGTTGCATATGTTCATGTATAAAGTATGCTGATTTGTGGTGAGATCATTTAAGCATGGGTCATGGCTTAGAAGCATGTAGGATTCTGGTAAGAGTTTCAGGATGTAATGAAATGAATGGAAGACTAACAGGGCCAGAGGGCTGGCACGTCACTAGTTGGGTATCGAGGCTCCAGGTGAAAAGTTCGGGGATCGATACCCCAACTTGGTAGAGATGAGTGTCGAGGCTCCGAGTACAAAGGTTGAGGGTCGGCACGGTGATTCTAATTGTTGAATTAGTGTTGGGTCTTGATGTGGTGGCGGTCAAGGACCAATACGTTGAGTAGTCGTCGATACCTTGGGTATAAATGTCAAGGGTTGATGCACAGTTCAAAGCCTTGGGGATAAATGGCAAGGTCGAACGCCAAGCTTCTGTAGATGAGTCTCAGGCTTTGGTGATAAATGGCAAGGGGCCGATGCGAATCGATG